CAGTCCCTCAGCAGCTCCAGGTCTGAACGTTCACAACAGTCAAAAGCTTTTAATTTCTGCACTCAATAAAGGCGCAGTTTCCCGCAGCGCTCGGCTTTCTTCCTCTGGAGTGTGATTGTGGATGAAAGTATTGGTGAGAACAATCGGAGCACTTCGCCGCTGCGCTATTGAGAAATATCCAGGAAGGAAGAATGCAAAAACTTGAGAAAGGAGAGCGTGATACTCTGCAGAAAAGGAAACCCGGTGATTTTCCTTTTCAGCAGGTAAAAGCGTCTGGAGGACAGCGCTCTGAGATGGAGTAGAAGTGCTGAAGAACCAAACCCTGCTGATGATGCAGAATAATCACAATGAGGATATGAACAGAGCCCAGAGCCGATGAGAAAGCATTGCGGAGATGCTCATAACCCACAAATGACCAGAGATGCTTTTTCACAAAAGCCTAATAAGAAGTTCGTAAAAAATGCTATATGATTTATTTTAATATTACGGTATGTTTTCTAGAAGTAGCGCAAGTCAAAGAAGTTCGTAAAAATATAGTATGTCTGATTTTAATATAACAGTCTGCTCTCTAGAAGTTTCGTAAGCCTAAGAGGTTTAAAAAAAATATTGCATGACCTATTTTAATATTACGATCTGTTTTGTAAAAGTATTGTAAGCCTAAGAAGTTCGTAAAAAAATATTGTACAACTGATCTAAATATTATGGTCTGTTTCTCAAATATAACAAGTCTAAGAAATTTGTAAAAATGAATGTATAATAATATTCATATTAAAGTGTTTCCACAAACATCGTAAGCCTAAAAAGGTAGAAAAAATTATTGTACAACTAATATTAATATTCTGATATGTTTTCTAGAAGTATTATAAAAGTTTGTAAAAATGATCATACAACTGATCTTAATATTACAGTCTGTTTTCTACAAACATTATAAGCCTAAGTAATCATGAAAATTATTGATATGATTAATGTTAATATTACAATATGTTTTCTAGAAGTAACAAGCCAAAACCTTTGTAAAAAATGATCGTACAACTAAACCCAATATCACCATATGTTTTTAGAAGTACCGTAAGCCTAAAAAGTTCAGGAAAAATATGGTATAGCTGATTTTACATTACAGTCTGTTTTGAAAAAGTATCATAAGTATATGAAGTTTTCAAAAATTATTACATAACTTATTTTAATTTTACAGTTTGTTTCTAAAGGTATCGTAAGCCTAAAAAGTTCATAAAAAACATTGTACAACTGAATTGAATATTACAGTCTGTTTCTCAAAAGTATCATAAGTCTAAGCGCGCAAAAAATTACATAACTTATTTTAATATTACTGTCTAATATTAAGACTGTAATATTAATAAGTTTTCTAGATGTAAGCCTAAGTTTGTAAAAATTATCATACAACTAGTTTTAATAATATAGTTTGTTGCTCAAAAGTATCGCAAGTCTAAAAAGTTCATAAAAAATTATTATAAAACTGATGTTAATATTGCGGTCTGTTTCTTAAAGTATCGTACTTCTAAGAAGTTTGTAAAAATGATTGCATAACTTATTTTAATGTTACAGTCTGTTTTCTAGATGTATCAAAAGAAAGTCTGTTTAAATTATCGTATGACGGATATTAATATTATAGTTTGTTTTCTAGAAAGTATTGCTAGCCTAAAAGGATTTTAAAAATTATTGTATTGTATTAATTTTACAGTCTGTTTTCCAAAAGTATGATTAGCCTAATAAGTTCATCAAAAAAAATATTGCATAACTTATTTTAAAGAGCCCTTATTATACATGAAATAGGGTCATATTTTGGTTGTAAGGGACTCCGACAACTGGGCGGGGCTTAAGTTTGTATCCACGTCATGTCGAAATGGCTAAAGACTCGTTATCAAGATGATTCATTTGAAGTACTATGAGTCGACTCTATTATAAATGAATCAACAGTTTTAAACACTGTTCACTTACAGATTTAAGCCTGAGCTGGATATTCACTTCACTTAGAGCTCTACTACACACTACATGGAAGCTCATTCTCAAAAACACATAATAGGGCTCTTTAATATTTCAGTCGGTTTCATAGGTGTATCGTAAACAAAAGTTCGTAAAATTGATCATACCACTGATCTTAATATTACAGTCAGTTTTATAAAAGTATTGCAAGTCTAAAAAGTTTGTAAAATTATTATACAACTAATGTTATTGTTACAGTTATACAGTTTCTCAAATGTATCGTAAAATTCATAAAAAGGATCGTACAACTGATATCAATTTTTACAGTCAGTTTTCCAAAATAATCCTGAAGCAGGTCACACACCAGAAGCGGCGCTCAGCCACGACTCAGGACGCTGCTCATATTTCTGCCGCACCACAGAGCGGCGTCTGAATAGTTCCATTTTAAATATGAAGCGAATGTGCGCGTCTGGTATGCAATACTTTCAACTGTCATGTGCGAGCCGTGTCGCAGCGCTGAGCGCCGCATCCGGTGTGTGACACCGTTTAGCCTAAAAAGTTCAGAAATATTATTTGGTAATTTATTTAAAGTCTGTTTTCTAGATGCATCGTAATCCTAAGTTTGTAAAAATTATCATACAACTGATCTTAATAATACGGTCACTTTCACGAAACTATCGCAAGTCTACAAAGTTTGCAAATTTATTATACAATTGATGTTAATATTACGGTCTGTTCCTCAAATGTACCATAAGTCTAAAGAAGTT